AACTGTTTACTAACTACTTTTTTTTTTTTTTTTTTTTTTTTTTTTTTTTTCCACACCACACACACACACACACACCCTAGGAAGCAACCCGTGACAGCTGACTAACATCCAGGTACGTATTTACTGCTAGGTAACAGGGGCACTTAGGGTGAAAGAAACTTTGCCCATTTGTTTCTGCCTCGTGCGGGAATCGAACCCGCGCCACAGAATTACGAGTCCTGCGCGCTATCCACCAGGCTACGAGGCCCCTATAAGGTCTATGTGTGTAGGGGGGGGGGAAGGGATGTGTGTACTCACCTAGTTGTGTTTGCGGGGAGTTGAGCTCTGGCTCTTTGGTCCCGCCTCTCAACCGTCAATCAACAGGTGTGTGTGTGTGTGTTTATGTGTACTTACCTATCAGTGTGTACGAGGGAGTCAGGTCTAGCTCCTGGTCCCGGGTCTACTGGCATTGTTGTACCCATGGCATTATAATTCAAGTATTCTGACGTTCATATTATTTGTCGAACCTGTTTTTTTTTAAAGTGGTGAAGGGAGGTGGCTTCCACAACTTATTCTTTAAGTGCATTTCATTTGATGACTGCCCGTATTTAGTACGAGTATTTCATAACATTCCTTCGGGTAATTTTCATATCTAGCTTCCACGTATGTCCGTGTCCATCTTATCTATTCCCCGTAGTATCTTGTATGATGTGATCATGTCCCCTCTGTTCCTTCTAGAGTATTGGGGTTTAGTTCCATTAGTCTATCCTCATTGCTTAATCCTCTTAATTTGGGCGCTAATCCTGTTGCAACCTTTGCAATTTTTTCAGTTTTGGTTTTATGCTAAATAAGCTACGGATTCCATGCCGTTGCTGCATATTATAATATTGGTCTCATGAATGTTGTCTTGATTACCTTGGAGGAGTGGTGATTTAGGATTCTGAACGACGTCCTTATATTTGCCAGTGACTCATATGCTGCTGATGCTATTCTGTTTATGTGTACTCACCTAATTATGCTTGCGGGGGTTGAGCTCTGGCTCTTTGGTCCCGCCTCTCAACCGTCAATCAACAGGTGTACAGGTTCCTGAGCCTATTGGGCTCTATCATATCTACACTTGAAACTGTGTATGGAGTCAGCCTCCACCACATCACTGCCTAATGCATTCCATTTGTCAACTACTCTGACTGTGTGTGTGTGTGTGTGTGCATGTGTATGTGTGTGTGTATTTACTATTTGTGCCTTCAGAATCGAGTTATTAGCTCTTGGGCCCCGCCTTTCAAACCAATTTATTTTTCTTCTATTATATCTATTACATATATTTCTCTCTAGCACACACACACACACACACACACACACACACACACACACACACACACACACACACACACACACACACACACACACACACACAGGAAGCAGCCCGTAGCAGCTATCTAACTCCCCAGGTACCTATTTACTACCAGGTGAACAGGTGCATCAGGGTGTGGGAAACTCTGCCCATTTGTTTCCGCCTCCGACGGGGATCGAACCCGGGCTATTAGGACTACAACTACATCAGTATCCACTCAACCGCGAGCCCCACCCCCCCCCCACCCCCTTTTATGTGTGTGTATATATGTACTCACCCAGATGTGCTTAATATAGTGTCGAGCTTCAGCTCCGCACTACCACCTTCCCGATCATGATATAGTTTTCACATGTACTTTGCTTCACAGAACTTACATATCAAAATCTTAATTTAGTTAAGAAAATCAACTCTTTCTCATTCAATTCGTCTCATGTGCATACGATGAGAGAGAGAGAGAGAGAGAGAGAGAGAGAGAGAGAGAGAGAGAGAGAGAGAGAGAGAGAGAGAGAGAGAGAGAGAGAGAGAGAGAGAGAGAGAGAGAGAGAGAGAGAGAGAGAGAGAGAGAGAGAGAGAGAGAGAGAGACAGAGAGAGAGAGAGACACACAGAGAGAGAGGAGGAGGACTCCACTAATCTTTCTCCCACACACTTCTCTTTCAGTGAGCAATAAATGGATAAGAGAGCGCGGCCAGTTTCTCCGAAGACGATGCGGGCTCCACCCAGACGACTAATGACCCCTTGACCTCTAAATCCTCTCAACAATGCCCAATCGCTTCTGGCAGCTTATCACGGACCTGTAAATCCTCTCAACAGCGCCCAACCGCTTCTGTCAGCTTATAATATTCTAACAAGTGTCCTTTATTCAATCCATCCATTTATATGTAGGAATGTTTCATGTTTAACAATGCTATATATACCTATTAAGCAATCTTCCCTATTAAGCCTATTTAAATTGCTATGTATATATAACAAATTCCTATTCCAACCACTTAAATATTTCACCAGTGGGGAAAAAGGTTAAATCTCTTTGTAAAAAAATGGTAAATTGATATGTATATAATGGGAGAAAATGTCTGTTTGGGAGTGTATTTCCTCATAAAATTATGAGGTTATCTTGAGGTTATCTTGAGATGATTTCGGGGCTTTAGTGTCCCCGCGGCCCGGTCCTCGACCAGGCCTCCACCCCCAGGAAGCAGCCCGTGACAGCTGGCTAACACCCAGGTACCAATTTTACTGCTAGGTAACAGGGGCATAGGGTGAAAGAAACTCTGCCCATTGTTTCTCGCCGGCGCCTGGGATCGAACCCGGGACCACAGGATCACAAGCCCAGTGTGCTGTCCGCTCGGCCGACCGGCTCCCCCGGTACAGTGAGTGGTACATATATTCTTAAATGAGGTATATGGAAACTGTGGTTGTATATACCTGTGTTGCCCTGGATATTGACGGCAGTGAGGAGTCAGGAAATGATGGGAAATGAAGTAGGATAATGAGACTTGGGGGCCAGATTCACGAAGCAGTTATGCAAGCACTTACGAACCTGGGGGCCAGATTCACGAAGCAGTTACGCAAGCACTTACGAACCAGGGGCCAGATTCACGAAGCAGTTACGCAAGCACTTACGAACGTGTACATCTTTTCTCAATCTTTAACGGCTTTGGTTACATTTATTAAACAGTTTACAGGCATGAAAACTTGCCAATCAACTGTTGTTATTGTTATAAACAGCCTCCTGGTGCTTCGGAGCTCATTAACTGTTTAATAATTGTAAACAAAGCCGCCAAAGATTGAGAAAAGGTGGACAGGTTCGTAAGTGTTTGCGTAAGTGCTTTCGTGAATCTGGCCCCTGTCCATCATTTCTCAATCTTTGGCGGCTGTGTTTCCAATTATTAAACAGTTAATGAGCTCGGAAGCACCAGGAGGCTGTTTATAACAATAACAACAGTTGATTGGCAAGTTTTCATGCTCGTAAACTGTTTAATAAATGTAACCAAAGCCGTCAAAGATTGAGGAAAGATGTACACGTTCGTAAGTGCTTGCGTAGCTGCTTGGAGAATCTGGTCTCTGACTGTAATATATATATGAGGCTTTGGGTTGGTTAGGATGGTGATAATGAGGTCGTTAAACCTCATTAGATGGTGTATAGTGATGCAAGTCTGACTCACTCCTACTGACACACTCACACATGTGACTTAAAGCAGAAAGTATGAAGTAATAGTTACCATGTGTATAATTCACTGGACAAATTTATACACCAGACATGTCGATATTAACTATTTTCAACCTTATGGCCTCAGTTTGTATTTAGCTAGACATTATTTCCAATATTTTGTGTTTCATTATATTCTCATTATATTCTCTCTCTCTTTCTCTCTCTCTCTCTCTCTCTCTCTCTCTCTCTCTCTCTCTCTCTCTCTCTCTCTCTCTCTCTCTCTCTCTCTCTCTCTCTCTCTCTCTCTCTCTCTCTCACCTAATCCCTTTTCTCCAAGTATATGTATATATATATATATATATATATATATATATATATATATATATATATATATATATATATATATATATATATATATATATATATATATATATATATATGTCGTACCTAATAGCCAGAACGCACTTCTCAGCCTACTATTCAAGGCCCGATTTGCCTAATAAGCCAAGTTTTCATGAATTAATGTTTTTTCGTCTACCTAACCTACCTAACCTAACCTAACCTAACCTAGCTTTTCTTGGCTACCTAACCTAACCTTACCTATAAATATAGGTTAGGTTAGGTTAGGTAGGGTTATTTAGGTTCGGTCATATATCTACGTTAATTTTAACTCCAATAAAAAAAATTGACGTCATACATAGAGATAAGGGTTGCTTTATCATTTCATAAGAAAAAAATTATAGTAAATATATTAATTCAGGAAAACTTGGCTTATTAGGCAAATCGGGCCTTGAATAGTAGGCTGAGAAGTGAGTTCTGGCTACTAGGTACGACATATATATATATATATATATATATATATATATATATATATATATATATATATATATATGTCGTACCTAGTAGCCAGAACGCACTTCTCAGCCTACTATTCAAGGCCCAATTTGCCTAATAAGCCAAGTTTTCATGAATTAATGTTTTTTCGTCTACCTAACCTACCTAACCTAACCTAACCTAGCTTTTTTTGGCTACCTAACCTAACCTTACCTATAAATATAGGTTAGGTTAGGTTAGGTAGGGTTGGTTAGGTTCGGTCATATATCTACGTTAATTTTAACTACAGTAAAAAAAAATTGACCTCATACATAGAGAAAAGGGTTGCTTTATCATTTCATAAGAAAAAAATTATAGTAAATATATTATTTCATGAAAACTTGGCTTATTAGGCAAATCGGGCCTTGAATAGTAGGCTGAGAAGTGAGTTCTGGCTACTAGGTACGACATATATATATATATATATATATATAATTCTAATTTCTATTCAAACCACAAATGTATTTTGTGATGTATTTCTTTCACATTATACATTGATTTTTAATACAACTATCCACCATGTATTCTAGTATTCATGAGTTATACATTGTACTCATTCACGTGAATCATTCATAATATTCTTCATTATTTCACTTGAATTTCATGTAAATAAATTGTAAAAAAAAAATGAATAAATGATTAATTAGAACTAAATGTGATATTATTTGTTAATGAAGTTTTCTTTATATATGATTGTTTTATTCATCCCTGATGAGTCAGTGAGTAATGCTGATCAGCACTACTCATCAACCTGCAGCTTGATGAGTAATGCTGATCAGCACTACTCATCAAGCTACAGCTTGATGAGTACAGTGGGTTTCAATGACAATAAGGTGATAATACTAGTATTAATCATCCGTATTAATCATAATCATATCAGTATTAATCATCTGGTATTGTCATCAACACTACCGTGGAAATAAATAGTTCATTCATCTATAGGTTCAAAGAGATTCGAACCCTAGTAACCCGACACGCGATTCGAACCCTAGTAACCCGACACGCGATTCGAAGCCTAGTAACCCGACACGCGATTCGAAGCCTAGTAACCCGACACGCGATTCGAACCCTAGTAACCCGACACGCGATTCGAACCCTAGTAACCCGACACGCGATTCGAAGCCTAGTAACCCGACACGCGATTCGAACCCTAGTAACCCGACACGCGATTCGAACCCTAGTAACCCGACACGCGATTCGAAGCCTAGTAACCCGACACGCGATTCGAACCCTAGTAACCCGACACGCGATTCGAACCCTAGTAACCCGACACGCGATTCGAAGCCTAGTAACCCGACACGCGATTCGAACCCTAGTAACCCGACACGCGATTCGAACCCTAGTAACCCGACACGCGATTCGAAGCCTAGTAACCCGACACGCGATTCGAACCCTAGTAACCCGACACGCGATTCGAACCCTAGTAACCCGACACGCGATTCGAACCCTAGTAACCCGACACGCGATTCGAACCCTAGTAACCCGACACGCGATTCGAAGCCTAGTAACCCGACACGCGATTCGAAGCCTAGTAACCCGACACGCGATTCGAAGCCTAGTAACCCGACACGCGATTCGAACCCTAGTAACCCGACACGCGATTCGAACCCTAGTAACCCGACACGCGATTCGAACCCTAGTAACCCGACACGCGATTCGAAGCCCAGTCGATACAGCTTCAGTCTCACACGCCGAGTTGAAACCCAGGGTTCGATTCCCTTCGAGTCCAAGTGGATAAAACTTAGTATTAATAGGATATCATTTACCCCCCCCCCCCCCTAAGACTAGACCAAAAAACAGTGATTTACAATCACACAGAAATCACGAAAGCGTTATGCATTAAATGAACAAATCCACGAGGGCCGTGCCGAGGGTTCGAATCTACTTAAGGAGCCTCTCGGACGTAAGTTCGAATCCGCTTCACGGCCCTTGTGGATCTGTTCATTGATTTACAACCCTCAATTAGTAATTGAGAGTTTGGGGGAAGTAATTAAATTAATGAAAATATGTTCTTCACTAATTAAGTTAATAATAAATTATAATAGCGACAATTGAATTGAACTATCAGGAGAAAACGCCAAGCCATTACGACTATATAGCACTGGGAAGGGGTCAGGATATTTGGGATGGGACGGGGGAAAGGAATGGTGCCCAACCACTTGTGGACGGTCTCGGGGGATTGAACGCCGACCTGCATGAAGCGAGATCGTCGCTCTACCGTCCAGAATAGCGATAAAGTGCATAACTTAAGAGTTAGGGAAACTGTAGAAGACCTATTGGCCCAATAGGGAGCGGGTCGGCCGAGCGGACAGCACACTGGACTTGTGATCCTGTGGTCCCGGATTCGATCCCGGGTGCCGGAGAGAAACAATGGGCAGAGTTTCTTTCACCCTATGCCCCCTGTTACCTAGCGGTAAAATAGGTACCTGGGTGTTAGTCAGCTGTCACGGGCTGCTTCCTGAGGGTGGAGGCCTGGTCGAGGACCGGGCCGCGGGGACACTAAAGCCCCGAAATCATCTCAAGATAACCATACGAGGCAGCTTCTATTTATATCTAGCCCCTCAAACTCATTCATATGTGTCTAACCTGCGCTTGAAACAATCCGACGAACTCATTACTTGTTCCATAAGTACAACCCATCGGTTGGGCCTGACGGCTGAGTGGACAGCGCTTGGGATTCGTAGTCCTAGGGTTCCGGGTTCGATCCCCGGTGGAGGCAGAAACAAATGGACAGTTTCTTTCACACTGATGCACCTGTTCACCCTATAGCAGTAAATAGGTACCTGGGAGTTAGACAGCTGCTACGGGCTGCTTCCTGGGTGTGTGTAACAAAAAGGGGGCCTGATCGAGGACCGGGCCGCGGGGACGCAAAGCCCCGAAGTCATCTAAAGATAGCAGAGTACAGAAGTGGTTGGGTAAGTTTACTATCACCTAGTGCCCCTGTTCACCCAGCAGTAAATCGGTACCCAGGAGCTATGCAACTGTTCAGGAGTTGTACCATAGGGGGAGGGTCAGTTGTTCCACCTTGGGGGGGGGGAATGAGGGCCTTTCACATAAGACTAACGTATATACATTCACAGGCTGCTTGTCCCCGATTTTTATAATTAATCACTATAATTTCTGGAAGTTTGAAATAATTGTTAAGTTACC